AAAATACATTATAAATGTCTGGCATTTGTCTGGAACCATTAACCTGAAGTCTTTTATAATGTCTGTGTAATAACAGAATTGCCGAAATTGCAGTGATGACATCAGTGTCCACAGGGTTTCACCACTTGGTGCAACCTTGTTGTTCCATTTCTGAAGGACTTTGAGAGAGATACTTGGTACGTCATCTGAAAAAATCAAACTGGCAAGATTGTGAAATGTGTATCTAATTTGGAGTGCTTGGTTGCGATGCTCAAAAGGACACTGATGGAAAAAGATTCATCATCATGTTGAGTCTCTGGTAGCTTCTGTTGAGATCAGGGTGTGGAGTCTGGAACTTAGTCAGACTCCACATCCTGATCTCAACAGAAGCTACCAGAGACTCGGCAAGAGAAATACTAGGCTGAAGTCACTTTAAGCTGCCGATGGCCCTCTCACAGTCCCCTGTAAAACCCACTTCAATATCCAACTTTTTTTTGTCCCATCTTTCCTGCATCATGCTTTGCTCTTCTTAGGCTTGATACTAGAAGCAGTGGGTGGGTAACCTAACTGGCATTTCTGCTTTGAGAAATTCTAGGTCACAATTTATGAATTAACTCCCACATGGCAGGAGTTGATTCCAGAAGTAAGTGCATGGATTCAGAAACGGCATGGACATTCTTAAGATTATCACTCCTATGCCTTTCCTTCTTCTCGATTTACAGTCATAAGATTGGTTAGCCTACAAATTTCACTTTGCTCAGACATGAAAGTTTCATAGCTAGATTTGTGCTCTCATTTTCTAGTCATTTTCTCCCCCTGTCCTTCTTTCCACCAAATCTCTTTTGCTCTTTCTAGTAGATTAATATGCCTGTAGGTAGTACCTTGTTATATCAACTGGTGTAGTATGTAGGTCTTTTAGGAGCATTAAAAAAATGTGTTGGCTTTTCATCCTAATGTAAGCTGGGTGCTGTGCCAGGCAGCCTAGAGGACTCCTAAAGCTTTGTAATCAACACAGAGAGATAGATAGATGGACGGACGGGCGGATGGACAGACAGATAGATAGACAGATAGACAGACTTCAGAATTCTGAAGTTCACCTGCATTATCACTTTATCCCATTCTGTGTTTACTTACCTTTCACTCAATCTATTCCTCACAACCAGCTTATTTGGTGCTCTTTCTGTTTTTTCTCTCACTCTAAAAGCCTTTTTGAGTGTTTTATGCATTACATAATTGGAACATGGAACAATTATAGAAAGAAATGGAATGGAATGAAATGTCTTAGAGGTGGCCTTGGTTAAACCAAAGTACTCCATATTACAACATTGTGGATATTTTCAAAAGCATAGCCCATTCTTATCTTGAAGGTAGATAGTCCTAAAGCAGGCCAGTTATTTTAATCTGAATTAAAAATGTAAGATAAATTATGGCCAGCTGGGAAACCCATTTTGGGGGGGGAGGGGTTATTAATTCCTTCAAGAGAATCAGTTATGGGCCACACACTAACGTCAAAGTCAATTTTGGTGAGTCCAAAGCAAAATATGGACAGGTTAATCTCCTCTGCCAACTCATTTCCCATCTCTTTCCCTCTGTTCTTTCTCCATTCCCACTGGATTCTTGGGAAAGGGACAGTGATCTAAACTGACTGCTCATAAAGAGATTTTGAAATTTAGACTGAGGAGTTAATTTATAGCTCTAATCCCTAAGCTGGAAGAGTCCCAGTGATACAGAAGTCTTTCCTTTTCTAAGGAATGCCTCTATTTTACTTAGTGTCCCTGCCAAGACTACGGATCACACCTTGCCTTCAAGCAGCATTGAGTCTAGCTTTAACTCCCACCATTGAATCATCACCAGAAATGTTAAACTGAAAAAAAAGCTCAAAGTACAATAGGGGAAGTGGAGAGAAGAAAGAAAAGGAAATAACAGGCAGTTGGGGAGGGGAATCAAATCAATTCCTTCTTTGAATGGGGAGACATTTCTAGATTACTGAAGAATACACAAAGGGTGTTGGCTCATATTGTACATATACTGACACCGAATTGAACATCTCGTACTTAAAAAGTTGGCCCTCTTGGACGGAAAACTACAGCTGACTTGCCCGCACCTGTGGACGCACCCAACTGCACCTCTTTTTGAAATGGCTTTTTTGGAAAAGGAAGGAATGCTCAGTATTTTGAAATGCTGGAATTGCTTAAAGCTATCCTAGGCCAGCATTAACTTTCTTCCACCTCCGTGTTAAGAGGCTTCCTAAGAGTTTTGTACATGTAGATTACAGGTAGTCCTTGACTTACAACAGGTCATTTAGTGACTGAGTTGCAATGACACTGAAAAAAAGTGGCTTATGACCATTTTTCATGTGATCATTTTACAGCCTTTGTAACATCCTCATGATCATGCGATCAAAATTCAGATGCTTGGCAACTGGTTCATACTTGTGATCATTGCTGTGCCAAGCAAAATCAGTGGGAAAGCCAGAATCACTTAATGACCATGTTATTAACTTATCAATTGCAATGATTCACTTAACAACTGTGGCAAGAAAGTTTGTAAAATGGGGCAAAACTCACTTAACAAACTTAGCAACAGATATTTTGGGCTCAATTGTGATCATAAGTAGAGGATTGCCTGTACATGCCCCCTGATCCCAAGACATTTTTGCTTCTTGAGATGAAACAGCAAAGGAATTGCACCATGATTGTCCAAGATTAAGTAAACAGATTGATCTGGTTATTCTATCGCAGGGAAGAAAATCCCGTACATAGTAAAAATGTAGTCATTAGTTAAAGAGCTGGGAATTTGCTGCCTCTTTAGGATGCCTAAAAGGATGCCTGGGATGAGCAATAGAACAATATCTGGAAAAGATCCTGGGCCAAAATGGATGCCTGGGTAATGCTCAAGGCAGAATTCTCAACTGAATTGTTCCAATCTAGTCCTTCTGCATAACACCAGGTATGTCACTGGAAGGAAAAATCACAAAACTGTCTCTCACTTATTTTGGCCATGTCGTGCAGGGGAATTCACGGGAGAAAGCAATTATGTTTGGAAGAGTTAGCAGCAAAAGGAAACCAGGCTATCAAAGAATACAGGGGTTGGACACCATCAAAGCCGACACCAGCCAGAGCACAGTAAAACTCAATGAAGCAGTGCAAGATTGGAAGATGTGGAGAGACCCAGCCCATAGAAGCGCCAAGAGTTGGACATGGCTGAAGGGTAACATAATCATCATGTTGGGCCCAAATGGGCTTGCATTTATAGCCGTACGATATTCAGTTCCCCCTCAATCCTAAGAATGCCAAAGACTAGGAATTTGAATTAAGTGGTCCTTATTTCTATTCCACCATCTGCTTTGCCATACATTCTTTTAGCTGACCCCAGAATGATGCTTTAAAAAGAAGTCTCTTGTTGTTGTTGTTAATTGCGAAGTCGTGTCCGACCCATCGCGACCCCATGGACAACGTTCCTCCAAGTCTTCCTGTCCTCTACCATCTTCTGGAGTCCATTTAAGTTCACACCTACTGCTTCAGTGACTCCATCCAGCCATCTCATTCTCTGTCGTCCCCTTCTTCTATTGCCCTCAATCTTTCCCAGCATTAGGCCCTTCTCCAGTGAGTCCTTCCTTCTCATTAGGTGGCCAAAATATTTGAGTTTCAACTTCAGGATCTGGCCTTCTAAAGAGCAGTCGGGGTTGATCTCTTCTAGGACTGACCGGTTTGAACGCCTTGCAGTCCAAGGGACTCGCAGGAGTCTTCTCCAGCACCATAGTTCAAAGGCCTCAATTCTTTGGCGCTCAGCCTTTCTTATGGTCCAACTTTCACAGCCATACATTGCAACTGGGAAAACCATGGCCTGGACTATATGCACTTTTTTTGGCAGGGTAATGTCTCTGCTTTTTAGTATGCTGTCTAGATTTGCCATAGTTTTCCTCCCCAGGAGCAAGTGTCCTTTAATTTCTTGGCTGCAGTCCCCATCTGAGGTGATCTTGGAGCCCAGAAAAATAAAATCGGCCACTAAAGAAGTCTCTAGTAGGGCGAAATAAGTGATTGACTCCATCTGCGGATGGAATATCCTTTCTTCTGCCTCCAATCACACACATGAATGTTCCTTCAACTGTGATGAATTGTATCTCCTACCTGCACAGCAGACAGAATGGCTAAGTGACAAAAATAAAAAAAAAATCCCTCTCCTTTGCTGAGAATACATTTGTCAATCATGGCTCATCAAAACTGTGTGATGTGTTCCATGAAGAGCAGTGTTAGAAAACTTTTTGACAGGGCTTGCTTAGAAATAAGGACCTGCTTTTCTGTGGCATTTTTTTTTTAAATTATGGATAAGAACTTTGATTGAATGGCCTTCAACTAGAATCCATCCACAGAACATTTCCATTTTGTCAATTTCAAAAAAGCAGTGCTGGGATTTATAAAATGCATGCAGGAAGTTCACAAACTCTTCATCAGCATAAAGTTCATAAAGTCTTTATCAGTGAGAATCACCAACAAGATAATTAACTAGTTAGAGCAGAGGTGTGAAAACTTTAGAGGCTTTTGAACTTTCATCATTACCATATACTGGGTGTTCATGGAGTGTGGCAATATCTGGAAGATTATAGATTGCCTACAATTGTGTTAAAAGTCGTGGGGTCTCAAGTAACTTATTAAGGGAGCAGGTTACTTTCTTAGAATAAATCTGGTTCATTTCCTTTCAGTTCTTTCCACAGAGGAATCAGTGAGTGACCCACAAACAACCAGTCACATAATCAACTGACCACAACACAACATAGAGAAGAAACTGAATGAGACACTTCACCCAGAATCCCACTGAAGATGTTACCTAGTTTGGTAACAAAACATCTGGGAGCTAAATAGCAAGCTCGGAGAGCAGACTCCTGCCAAAACCTACAACTATGAATATTCTCAACAATATTCTCAATAATTTCTAATCAGTGAGCAACCTCAGCTATGAAGAGGTTATCCAGTGATCACTGAGGAGAGACAGAGAGCGAGCAAAGACACACAATTACTCACCTTCTGAAGTGGTTGCAAATTTGGTCTCTGTACAAGGTGCTGCTCTGCATATGTCAGCTTCCAGTCAGAGGATTTAGAAAATTCTGAAGGGTACATAGAAAAATTGGATAGAGATAAGAATGGTTACTTACCTGTAACTGAGGTATCACGGGTGATCTGTATATTCACAATGATGAAAATTTGCACCTTCATGCTACAGTTAGTCCTCAACTTAAAATCATTAGTTTAGTGATTGTTCAAAGTTACAATGGCTCTGAGAAAAGTGACTTATGATCATTTTTCACACATACAACCATTGCAGCATCCCCATGGTCATGTCCTCATGTGATCAAAATCTGAATGTTTGACAACTGGTTCATATTTATGACAGTGGCAGCATCCTGGGGTCATGTGATCAACTTTTGTGACCTCCTGACAAGCAAAGTCAGTGGGGAAGCCAGATTCACTTAGTAACCATGTCACTAACTTAAGAGCTATAGTGATTCACTTAACAACTGGGGCAAGAAAGGTTGTTAAATGGGGCAAAACTCACTTAACAAATGTATCACTTAGCAACATACATGTTGGGTTCAGTTGTGGTCGTAAGTCAAGGGCTACCTGTACTTCAGTAGCAACCCTCTAAAAACTGAAAAATTTGGTCGGACTCAGCAAGTGCACACCTGTTCTCCTTAGTGGAGAATGACCCAGGAAAACATCAAAATGTAAATACACAGATGACCAGTCAAAAACCTGAGTTATTGCAGATGATAAATTCTTTTTTTATTGTAGTCCTTATGATTCACATGGATAAATAGAAAACTGAATGTCCAGAGGCAAATCAGTGTCTGTTTTCCTAAAATGTATCCTTCTCTGCCTAAATAGTTCTCCAAAATTCTAACGGAGGTTCATTGTTTTACCCAAATCACAGAGATTTGGCAAAGAAACGTATTTCAGAAAAGTAGCAGATATGTGCTGGAAGAAATGCTTAGTAATAAATTAAGAGTAGATGGCACTATTTAGAAAAAAAATATATTGGGATGATATACCAACTTTCCTAGGGAAGACTTCAACTGCAAGAAGTATTCTGATAAAAGATGAAAATGACAATATTCTCGCTCGTAAAACAATAAAAATTTAGATCTAGTTATATGGCAATCTTTCTTTTCTTTTCCATTATATATGAGATATCTATTTTTAAAGAACATAACTCACTATTCCCATGTGCTTTAGCAATTCAAAACACTTACTTCTAATATAATATATCTATGGCACAAGTTGCCAACAGATCAAACTATTTATTTATTAAATCAATAAGATAAAGATAAATTCAATCAGAGACCAGATTTGGTACTTGAGGATGCAAATTAAGTATGCCTTTTAGAAAAATTTTAACCATTGGCTGCAGAAGAAAAAATAAATAAATCCAAGCTAATTTCAGATAGGAAATCAGTATGCTGAGCTGGCTGATAAGCAAACATGTAAAGGAAGATTTTAAATTTTAATGTGTGAGGTTTTTTTTAGAAAAAAGATAATATGAAGCAGAAAACATACAATCTGAATTTCCTTTGGTGGAAGAAAGTGGTAAAATACCCCCTGCTAACTGGAGAGATGGAGCAAACTATGATAACCTTGCCCAAGATGGTATGAGAACAATGTCTTTCCTTCTCTTGAATAGGAGAGTAATGGACAGAAATGCATATTATTCTGTCCATGGGAATATAAGAACTATCCACAAAAAATCATGATCCATAAAATTGTGCAATAAGTGATATATGGGAATGCAAATAGCCTGATGTAAATTTGTCTTCACTCTTCACCAAACAAAAAAATGTATCTGACCTCTATTCATTCCATATCCACACTGTTGCATCAACTCAAGAACTGGGCAGAGACTTGTAGTTGCCTGAGAAATGTGTAGGCAGAGAGTTCCTTTGAATGCAAGCAACTCTAGAAAGTCTAATATAGACACCCAGAAGACAAAACTTTATTTCACCTGCATTTGTTGATTTATCAAAGAACCATGATATTGTTCCTGTATAACCTTGCTGGAAAGTTCCTAATGGTACAAGACTCTCCAGACATGGATATTGCTCCTTTAGGAAAGCATCTACTATTACTTTGACCCTTCATGCCAATAGAGAAAAAGATACCCTTGCAAAAAATGTGTCCCTGTGAAAAATTTGTCCGAGGCCACAATTTCTCTGTAGAAATTGTCATATCATATCAGGAAGAGGTATTCATGGATCTCCATGGATGGTACCAAAGTTACTAGCACTGAAACAAATATGTGTGCAGATGAGTAAAATGAATAATCGTTATTATGGTTGACATATGTTGTGGATATGAGAGAATAGGCCTTGTTAAAACAACCAGTGACCTGTCTTTATATGTAGAAAGACCAGTCCCTTACCAATATCAATGTGGACATCAGAGCATTGAAATAAGAAGAAGTCAAGAGTTTTCCAGAAACAGTTAAAGGGAATTATGGCCATACATATCTAGGGAGATTCTCAATTATCCAGGTCATGGCTGTCCCATGACCGATCTTCAGAGTGCTAATGACCAGATGACTGCTAAGCAACATAAATCTTCCCATTGCTCACCATTCAGCCAGAACTGAAGAAGCTGCTTGGATGAGAAGTGAAATATCTTTAAGGGGAAAACCATAAAAATCAAGTTGCCTTTTGAAAAACACCTTAGGGACGTTACGGCCATACAGTTTCAAAGCTTTAAGCGCAATGGTGCTACTCTAAGTCTATTGTCCCAACGGAACAAACAATAATTCCCTGAGGATGGAAATACTGTATATTGGGGTCCCAATTCCTGGCCCAGATAATTGGGAACTAGTCTGTGGAAACAGTGGATGAGTGTTCGAAGCTCCATTAGCATAATTAGTGGGAGTGAGCATGAAACCATCCCCTTCCCCCCCCCCACACACTGATCTGCAGACCCAGAAAGATGGGGGACAGCTGGTGTATACAGTGGTGGGATTCAAATATGTGAACAACCGGTTCTCTATGTGGATGCCACTTCTGGAAGTCCATTCTGGGTCTGGGCAACAAAAAAGTAGCTGCCGGTTCTGCCGAAGTGGTGCGAACTGGCTGAATCCAACCACTGGGTATATCTGACCTGCAGATATTCCAAGATATCTCATAAAATGTGATGAAAAGGTGAGGTATGTCCTTTGTGTTCTCTTTTTACAAGAATATGTTTTGATTGTGGAATATTAGGAAAAAGGTTCATTTATTCCTCAACTTCCATTTTACCAAGGCAGTCCTTTGATATTATTGTCAGTTATGTTAGAAACTAGACAGAACTGAGATGTAGAGAATGTAAATGAGCAGTTGTCATTTAGAATTGATTGTGGGAAATTTAAGGTAAGTTTACCATTCCACCATGGAAAATGAGGGGGAAAGTTACTGTAAGGCATGGCATCAGTCTTAACTGTCAATGGTTATAACCTGTTGGGATAATGATGAGGACATTCACTTTTAACCATCCCATGCTGAGTTACTGGGAAGCTTTAGCCAAGTTCAGGATTGCCCAAAGTATCTTAATGGTAGTTCAGAGACCCGATTCAATTAATGTGAAGCTTGAGTAGTCATCATATGATCTTGCCCTATCTCAGTTAAAAGGAAGTGGGGTGATAATGGTGATGCCTTTTCACTTCATTTTGACTTGGTTAAGATACCTGCAGGATGCTTGGACAGCAATTTTATGCTTGCTGTGCTCACTAAGGAGCAGTCAACTGGTTTAAGCTTGTTCTTTTATTGGCAACTCTTGCAGTGCTGATGCTGGAGAAAAGGCTCAAATGGGAAGAGAAATGAAGGAACACAAGTTCCTGTAATTTTCTCAAGCAGCCTGCTGTTCCACATCACATTATGGGTAGTCTTACCTTAAGGCAGAGAAAGGATTAGACATCAAAAGTGTGGAGGCCTGGGTTGAATATTTTCATACCTTGTTCAGCAATGCTCCAAATGTCTCAATTTTCACATAATGTCACCCTGAAATCCAGAGACTGATTCCCTGTTCCTTCTTCTAAGATGGTTAAACTTATTTTGCAATTGAAAAACCAAAGGCAAAGCAATTGAAAGTCATTTGATCGGTTCAAGGCAAATGTGACTGCTCTTTCCTTGAGAGCTGATGTAAGATCCATCATAGTAGATAAAAATGAAATAGGAGTAATCTGGCAAGTATTCACTCTATCAGTTTGCTGTACATGGGAGGCAAAAGTAGTAGATATTGGATGAGGCAGGACAATATCTCAATGGAAGAACAAGCTGAGAGCAATATCTAAGGGAGGAATAGTTGACACTAGATCAGTGTCTTATTTCTCAAGATTTAATAGAAAAATGCATTAATCCCCTTCAGGATATCATCTTTCTTGCCTTCATTGACCTAAAGGCAGCTTTTGATTTGATCTTATGAGAGAAATTGGATGCTTCTTCTATCAATGACAACTTTTGATACTGAGCATGAAACTGCATTGAAAGAATACACTGTGCAAATCTACTGTGTCATTTTGGAAATCAAAATTCCTCATTGAAAAAGGAGTGAAGCAAGGATAGGTTTTGGTTCCATTGCATTTTTAACTTGTATATTAATTCTTTGCTGTGAGTGTTGATAAAACCCGAGAATCATCCCCACTGTTGGCCAACAGATCAATTTTGATATCCTGATCAGCAATCCTCTCTACCATGCAAATATGCCCATTTGAAGCTAGGGATGTCCAACCTTGGCAACTTAAAGACTTGTGGATTTCAACTCCCAGAATTCCCCATTTTACTAATATAGCTATCAAATTATATCTGTATACATCATTCAAAATATTCATTACCAATAATAGATTTCATTCAGGAAAAAAAAGAGGGGGGGGGGGAAGAGAGAAGGTAAGACTGATATGGCCAGTCCTTCCAGAAAAGGGAGTGAGGGTTTAAAGCAGGAATTCTGGGAGTTGAAGTCCACAGGGTTAAAGTTGCCAAAGTTGGACGCCCCTACTTTAAACCCTCATTCTCGTTTGTGGAAAGACTGGTTGTAGTAACTCTTTCCACAAGACCTGTCATTCCTCCTAGGGAATCAATGAAATAAGGACTAAATTATGCTATAATTTGTTTACTCTGCTTCTCTGTATCTGTAGAATCTGGATATAGCTCTGATCACATGAAATGGTACAGAATACCAGTATATAAATTCAGAATTTTTTTAAAAATGCAAGTACTTATTTGGAGAATCGGTAATGCAGAAACTGCAGTAATGGACCCAGGTTCACCTTTATTACACCTGAAGACATATTCCTGCAAGGGAATCTCATA